CAGCTCTACACTTTTTTTGTTATCACAGATTCTCCAGCATCTGCAGTTCGTACTATCTATTTCTCTCCATCACCTGGCTCTTGTTGTGTAAATGTTACTTCCCATTTAGAATCATAGAGATGTACAGTGTGGAAACGGACTGTTCATTTGGTCCAACTTGTCCATGCTGACCAGATATCCTAAATTAATCTAGTCCCATTTCCCCCTCAACCCCTCCTATTCATATACTCATCCAGATGCCTTTTAAATGCTGTAATCATACTAGCCTCCACTACTTCCTCTGGCACTCGTTCCATACATGCACCACCCTCTGGGTGAAAAAGCTGCCCTTTAAGTCCCTTTGCAATCTTCCCCTCTCACCTTAAACCTATGCCCTCTAGTTTGGACTCCTCTGCCCTGAGGAAAAGACCTTGACTATTCACCCCATCCATGCCCCTCATGATTTTATAAACTTCTAAAAGGTTACCCTTCAGCCTCTGATGCTCGAGAGAAAACAGCCCCAGCCTATTCAGCCTCTCCCTATAGCTCAAACCCTCTAGCCCTGGCAACATCCTTGGAAATCTTTTCTGAACCCTTTCAAGTTTAGTAATATCCTTGCTATAGCAAGGAGGCTAAAATTGCAACAGTATTGCAAGAGTGGCCTAACCAATATCGTGTACAACTGCAACATGACTTCCCAACATCTATACTCAATGCACTGACAAACAAAGGCAAGCATACCAAATGCCACCTTCTCTATCTTGTCTACCTGGGACTCCACTTTCAGGGAACTAAGAACCTGCAGACTCGGATCCCTTTGTTTGGCAATGCTGACTAGGACTTTAGCATTAAACGTATATGTCCTGCCCTGATTTGCCTTACGAAATGTAGCACCTCGCATTTATCTACATTAAACTCCATCTGCCACTCCTTGGCCCATCGGCCCAACTGATCGAGGTAACCTTCTTCACCGACTACTACACCACCAATTTTGATGTCACCTGCAAATTTATTAACTATAGCTCCTATATTCACATCCAAATCATTTATATAAGTGACAAAAAGCAGTGGACCCTCTTCACACTGCTGGTCACGGGTCTCCAGTTTGAAAAGCAATCCTCTACCTACTACCTTCTAGCCAATCTTTTTTTATCCAAATGGCTAGTTCTCCCTGTAATCCATGTATCTAACCTTGTTAACAGTCTACCATGTAGAACCTTGTTGAACACCTTAGTGAAGTCCACTGCTCTGCATTTATCAATCCTCTTCATCACTTCAAAAAACTCAATCAATTTAGTGAGACACAATTTCCCACGCACAAAGCCATTTTGACTATCCCTGATCAGTTCTTGCTCTTCCAAATACGTGTAAACCCTGTCCCTCGTAAACTCTGTCCCTCAGAAACCCCTCAAAACAACTTGTCCACCACTGATGTCCGGTTCACCAGTCTATAATTCCCTGGCTTTTCCTTATCTCCATTCTTAAATAATAGCACCACATTAGCCAATCTCCAGTCTTCCGACACCTTGCCCGTGGCTATTGATGATACAAATATCTCAGCAAGGGGCCTAGCAATCATTCGCCTAGCTTCCCACAGAGTTTTAGGGTGCACCTGATCAGGTCCTGGGGATTTATTCATGTTTATGCATTTACACTTTTCAAGATATTATTTCCCCAAGTTCTCTAGCTTCCATATCCTTCTCTGCGGCAAACACTGATGCAAGATACTCACTTAGTATCTCACCCACTCCTGTGGTTCCACACATAGGCAGCCTTGCTGAACTTTAAGGGGCCCTATTCTTCTCTAGTTACCGTTTTTTGTCCATAATGTATTTGTAGAAACCCCTTATTGTCCTAAGCCTATAAATTATCGAAGATTTTCTACATATGGGTACAGGCTGCTTTAGTACCTGAGGAGCTGTGAACGTTGCTGAACATTGTGTAATCATCTGTGAATGTTTCTACTCTGATTTTTGATTTTACACTTGAGGAAAGGTTATTGATGAAGCAGCTGAACATGGTTAGACCCAGGACAGTATTCTGAGGAATGGAGGGCTTTCTTCTGGTGTAGAGATAGTGTCCCTACCCGTGAACCTGAAAGGCCTAGGATCAAGTCCCACCTGCTCCAGTGGTGTATAATAACATCTCTGAACAGGTTGATTAGGAAAAGTAGGTTAATTTAAAAAAAAATTCTGAGGAACAAAGAGGACTCATGTGATCGATTGGTAGTGCCCTGCCCCTTGAGCCTAGGTCTCCTGGTCAAGTCCCACCTGCCATGAAGTATAATTATTATAATCTCTGAACAGGTTGATTGGAAAATATCTTTTTAAAAAAAGTGCCTGACCTAAACCTGCATTGAGTGCCTAGGTTACGATGGAATGATCATGACTGTGAAACCTTTTCCTAAAGAACTGGGGCTGTTGTAGCACAGTGGTAATGACCTTGCCTCTGAGCCAAGAGGCCTAGGTTCAAGTCCTATCTGCTTGATAAATGAATAACAATATCCATCACTGGACAATATTAGAAAATATCTACCCTGTGGAACTTCTGCAGTGATGTCTTGTGGCTCGCTAGACTAACCTCCAACAACCACAGCCATTTTGTTTTCTGCTAGATACAATTCCCAAACAGCAGACACATTTTACCCACCTCCTATTGACTTCAGTTGTTTTTTTGCCAGCATTGGTTTGATGTCAAGGATGGTTAAAATTGCTTCAACTTTGGAGTTCAACTCTTATTTTCCATGTATGATCCAAGGCTGTAATAAGGTCAGAAGCTGAGAGGCTATGGCAGAACCCAAATTAAACATCATTAAGCAGGTTACCTAAGTGTAAGTGCTGCTCAAAAGCACTGATGATGACCCCTTCTGTAACTTTGATTTTGTGAGAAAACTGCTAGGGTTGATATTAGCTGGGTTAGATTTGACCTCCTTATTGTGGACAGGACATTCCTGGGAAAATTTCCACTTTTATGTTGTAGTACTGCAGCAGATTGGCTATGAATGTGGCTAGTTCTGGAGCACAAGTCTTCAGTACTCTGGAGGGAGTATTGTCAGGCTTTGTACCCTTTTGTAGTGTCTAGCACCTTCCTTTTTAAGAAAAAGGATATCTTAGCATATTTAGGTATTCCTTTATTCAATGAAGTGAAATCTGGAACCTCCGGTGGATAGCCAGATGGATTATCCACTTGGCAATTCTGCTGAAGGTAAATTACAATCTTCACTTTTTTTCTTGGACTTCCCCCCTCCCCCCACCCCAGTGTTGAGGATGTGGACAGAGATTGTGGAGCCTCTTCCAGTTTTAATTGTCCACTACCATTCAAGACTTGATTTGGCAGGATTGCAGAGCTTGGATCTGATGTGTTAGTTGAGAGGTTTCTTAGGATTGCTGAGGGGTGTCTTTTTACATGTTGCTTCTTCTGTTTGGTGTGCAGGTATTCTGTGTCATAGTGTCACCAGGTTGACACCTCTTTGGCTAGGCCTGGTGCTGCTCTTGGTATGCCCTCCTGCACTCATTTTATTTGAACTGGCGTTGGTCTCTTGGCTTGATGCCTATGGTAGAATGGGAAAAGTGTTGAGCCTGGAGATTTCAGATTATGGTTAAATATAATTTTGAAATTCCAGCAGCTTCAGTTCCAAGTTTGAGTTGGAAGCTGAATTACAGAGGCTGCGACACATAAAGGGAAGTTACCCTAATTCTTTATATCCAGAGGCAGCCATACTGTTTAGAATAGTGTCTTCCAAATTGCCCTGTTGTGAGGGATAGTAGAGTGTGATTATCTGTGAGGGAAGGAAGGGCATCAGATGCGGGAATGTCAACTTCTGCAATTCAAATATAGAATACAACTGCATAGCTCAGGAACGGACCCTTTGACCCACGATGTTGTGCTGAACATGAGGCCAAATTAGACTAATCCCTTTTGCCTGCCCTTGGTCCATATACCTCCATTTCTTGCTTATTTATGTACTTATCTAAAAGTATCTTAAACGGCCCTATTGTATCTGCCTCCACGACCACCTGTGGTAGCTCTTCCACACTCCTACCA